TCTTTCAACACATGAGCTTTGCAGGGGACATTCCAGATGCAAACTCTAACAACTCTTGAAAGCTGGTGGTTGGGAGAGGTCACATCAGAGGGAGAATGACCCCTCTACTCACTTCTGACAGACTGGGCTCTCAACCGCTTTCAAGGATATAGAGCTGCTATTGATTTGCTGTTTTTGATTTTCCTAGTTATTTGTAATCTATGAAAGAGAGATGAAAGCCTGACTCCACATCCCTCACCTTGATCCTGATGAACAAACCTTAATAAGATAGTTTGGTTGTTAAGTAAGATCGTCCCCAGAAAAGCATTGCTCTTTGGTAGGTGGGCTCATTGTGTACATCAGCAGGATGAAAAGTGCAGGCACTTGTATTGAATTGGGCCCAATGGTTTTGCCAAGCACCAAAATGATGTTCTGCAAAAGAGTTTATTCATAGTAGTAGAAAAACACTGAAGTCAACTCTTAGGGAACATGGCTTTCTTCTCTTGGATGCTTTGGAATTTGTACTTAAAAAACAACCAACAAAAAAACATTGATTAGAAGTTATAAATGAAAAAAAATGGTATTTGTATTAGAAGCACAGCCACCCTTGACTTCATGGCTGCTGATCAGRAATCTAGGACCAGTGCATGTCTGACTCACTGAAAAACCAGCCTCTATCTTAGAGCAAAGCCTGTCCAAGGAAGAGACATGGCCTTTGTCCTTGGAAAAACCCACAGAGCACTCCTAGGCACATTCCCACCCTGCTAAGTTGTTTATCTACAAATAACAGGAGAGATCTGCTGCGCCAGGTGTCCCTGACTCAGTCAGGCTAGGTGGGGATCCATAGCAGCCCCCTAGCAGCCACCAATCAGCATGAGACAGGGAAATACCTGGGATGCCAGATGACCCTCCYAGTATTTTATGGTGGTTAATAACAAGTTGGGAAACCATGTAGTTCAGCACGTACACCCCTCTTGGCTGAAACCAATCAGTTCAAATGAATACCCCTTTTGTACTGACCAATCACCCCTACCCAACTTGTTCCCGCCAGTGAATGTGCTAATCATGTTTTAGAGTTGTTATTTGATTTTCCCGCGGTGTGTGATGATTTGCTATGATGTATGTGAAGTCCCTGCCCTCTCCAAAGAATGTATAAAACTTCTGCAAACCCTGGGCTTGGGGCCTCTCAGCGTCACCAGTTGYTGTGTGTGCGTGCAGAGGACCAAGCTAGCTCGCAATAAATACCTCTTTGCTGCTTGCATCGATCTTGGGTCTGGTGGTCTTCTGGGGGTCCCGAATTCGAGCATAACATCACAAGGTGTGTGACCTCGAAAAGCTGTTTGATCTCTGTGTCTCTTAGTTACCTCATCGGTTAATATGAGTGTCTGGGCCCCCTCCCAGGTCAATTTAATGGAAATCTCTAGAGTAGGGTCTGAGACATTGATTTTTTAAATTATTTTTAGTTGTAGATGGACACAATCCCTTTATTTTGTTTAGTTTTTTTATGTGGTGCTGGGGATTGAAACCAGTACCTCACACATGCTAGGCGAGTACTCTACCAATGAGCCACAACCCCAGCCTGACATTTATATTTTTAAAATGTTTTTTAGATGCAGTGAGTATTAAAAACAATTTTCTATTAGTGGTTCTCAAACTTTTGTATGCATCACTTGTAGGAATTGTTAAAACATAGGTTCCAACGTCCATTCTCAGGGTTTCTGATTCAGGAGGTCTGGAATCGTACCACTGCCATATTACTCAGTGAAACTGATGCTGCTGGTCCAAGAGACACACTTTAAAAGTCCCTGGCATAGATGGTCTCTAACGTCTCTTTTAAGTACAAAATTCTAAGAATCTATGGTTTAGCCTCTTATACCTAGTATATGCCCAATTCTTTGACATCCTGTTTGTGGTAGAGGGCAAGGAAATGGCCACACCTTCTCTCTTTCCGATGCACATGCTCTCTTACCTTTTGACTTTGCCCCCCTTTCCATCAAAAGGTGAAGTCTATTTTTCCATTCTCTTCCATCTAGCCTGGCCTCCACACTTGCACTAGTCAACAGAATGTAGCAGAAATGATGTGGGAGTTCTGAGCCCCAGTTACAAGAGGCCTTGTTGATTTGTTCTTTCTCTTTCTCCTGCTGACCAGGTTGCTATACGAAGAACCTTTACCTTGCATTTTTGAGAAAGAGGAGCCACATGAAGAAAAAGACCCAGCCAAAAGCCAGCACTGACTACTAGACAGATGAGCGGCATCCTATTAAATCATCCAGCCCAAGCCAAGTCACAGGCTGATTGCCATCGCATAACTCCAGACATAACTGGCAGAAGAACCCCCCCAACTGAGCCCAGCCCACTTTTTTAACTCAAGAAATCTAAGCAAATAAAATGGTTATTGTTGTAAGCCACAAATTCTGGAATGGTTTGTTATACCATGATAGTTAAGTGATAGAATGTGCTTTCATTGCCTTATGCCTGTGTGTGAAGAGGGAACAAAAGTGATTTCTCCATGTCTCCTAACATATCGGAACAGAAAAAGATACATAGGTAAAAAGAAAAAGAATATAGGTAAAAGTGGCTTAAGCTCCATATACTCAAATGTACAAACAATCTATTACTTTCTAAAATGATGGTTATTTTCAAGTAGTTTCCATTTCTTACTGAGAAAATTTTGGCAACTAGTAACCACTGTTTTTGAGATCCACAGTGGTTCACACACACTCTCAGATATCTAGGTGGACTTTATATTTCCACTCTGCTCATCGTATAAGATCTTAAGAGTGATGATCTGTGTGGTCTTCTTGGATGATATGTCACAGTGCATATAGCATTTTATCAGAATTATGTAAGTGATGACAGGCAGAGAGTACTTGACATGGGAATGGTGGTACCACTGGCTAAATTTATTCATTACGCTATTGTTCCCTTACATTAGCGTCTTTTTGAAATTAAAAGTATTTTAGTTGACTAGTAAAAATTATATTTATTAAGCTGGGTATAGTGATGCATGCCTATAATCCCWGCAGCTGGGGAGGCTGAGACAGGAGAATTGTGAATTCAAAGCCAGCCTCAGCAATTTAGTGAGGCCCCTAAGCAACTTAGCAAGACCCTCTTTCTAAATAAAATATAGAAAGGACTGGGGATGTGGCTCAGTAGTTAAGTACCCATGGGTTCAATCCCTGGTATAAAAAAATGTAAAAATTGTATTTACTTATTGCATGCAGTATTATGTTTTGGTGTATGTCTATACTGTGGAATGACTGTCAAGTTATATAACATATGTGTTACCTTGGATATTTATCATTTCTGTGTATGTGTGGTGAAAACTCWTAAAATCTACTCTCTTGGCAATTTTCAAGTTGTGTAATATATTTCTATTTACTATATTCACCGTTGTGTAGTTAATTATCTTCTTATCATGGTATTTAGCAAAACTCAAAATTCCGGACAGGTCTAGATCTTGGSGTTTGGTAATGGTCCTAGGTACATATATTTTGTCTTTGAATAGCTGAGAGTTGCTTTGTTTGGTAGGGGCTCTAAATTATAAATTCAGAGAGACAAATTCATTTATGGCCATAGTCTTTCCATCACTCACAAAACTACACACAAATTTATAGGTGTCAAACCAATGAAAGAATCATTTCAGAATTTATTTCAGATATCATATGCATATTAATTCCCAGTCTAAGGGAAAAGGAATTTGGAAGAAATGCATTCACATGCTGATTTTATTTGTATATTTTTATTTTCTTCTTTAAATCCTGAAACTAACAATTATATTCATGAGTCAATAAAAAAATGGACTACAGCTAGAAGTGGTGATGCGTGCCTGTAATCCCACCAGTTTAGGAGGCTAAGGTAGGAGGATCTAAGTTTGAGGCCAGCCTCAGCAACTTAGTGAGGACCTAAGCAACTTAGTGAGACCCTGTCTCAAAATAGAAAAATAACAAGAGTTAACAAGGGCTGGGGATGTAGCTCAGTGGTTAAGCACCCCTGGGTTCAATCCCTGGCAAGAAAACAAAACAAAAAGGACTGCAGAGGAAAAATTTAAAAGCCAAAGAGATTATTTCCCATGAGTTTGAGACCCTGTTGTCCTGACCTGACTTTTACCTGAACAAAATGAAATTCACTATGTCAGATGCTGGCAATTTTAAAGGGGCCATTGCACGCCTGGATGGGCCTTTGTTCTTGGGCTAGTCTAGTACTGGTGCTTCTCATACACTGWCAGGATAGCATTTGCCCAGGTATTCCTGTGTGCACAGCATATGTGGTACCTTGGTCAACAGCAGAAGCTGGGCACTAGGCTCCACTGAGCCTCYTGAGCTGGAATGAGAGTTATAGTTCCAATAGGCTAAGGTTGGGCTGATCACAGGGAAGAGGGTGAGTTCTAAGGGAGGGGTTAAAATATTAAGAAAGCATGGTATGATTTAGCAATTACTCATCATCCCTAGATGAAACTTTGAAGATTATTAGYATTACCTTCTTAGAGTCACACAAATCACATGATGACTATTCTGAGTTGAAATTTTTAGATTTATTGTAGCACTAMTGTCAAGAATACATACTTAGCATAGTGTCACTATCAAGAATACACAAAAATACACCGATAAAGCTAAGAATAGGATGTCAGGATTATTTTAGGGTTAGTCTAAAACTCATCTCATCTTCTGGGCCCAGAAGGATGAATGGGAAATGGGAAATGGAGTGAAGGAAGAAGACTGCAGATTTTRTTGGTAGGCAGTCACCACATGTTACCATTTGGCAAGAAGGACAGGAATGGGGATTACATGACAAACTGAGTCCCAAACTGAGAACAAGTCAGGATTGCATAAGCTGAAGCACTGCTTCCATCGGTGATTAGCTAAAAGATGGGCTGACCTGACAACTGTGTGGCTGGAATGTCAGGAGAGACAGACAGGAGAAAACAACTCTTCAAAATGTACTTGAAAGCAATAAGCAAGATGTCCCAGCTCAGCTGCCCCAGGTGCCTCCATGCCCCCTGCCCCGCCCCCACCCCACCTCCCCAGACTTCTGCCCCCTTCCAGACATCTTCCAGACCTTCTGATGCTGCTTCCTCCTCTCTCCTCAGTTCAGGAGTCCCGACGCTCTCTGGAAGTGGAGCTGCCTGCATCCTGGGACATTTCTTCACTGTCACCTTCAAGCCCATATGCTGACAGGAACACTTGGCCGATACCTGATGGAGCATCCCTTAGAAGGTGTCCCAGTTTCTTCTCATAACATTCCACGGCCTGCTGCAGATTTCCCTCCCGCTTGTGATCTAACCCTTGGAGATACCAACAATTTGGAGGACTTTGTTGAAGTGGACTCTCGGTTGTGCTCTGGGAAGGATGTTGCATCTCTTCCTTCTCAGTTGATGTTGGSCTCAGGTGAAAACTCTCTAAGCCATTTTGGACAGCGGAAGTGTCTTCAGACTTACCCTGATATTTCTGAAGGCTGCAAGAGTGTGGTTGAAGTGGTTGCCTCTCGGCCTCAGGGGTCTCTTTACCGAACACCTGCCGATAACATTTTTCTGCTTCCTGGAACTTGGTGAATTCAGAGGGTGCACCCAGAGGATCCAACCCATTCTCAAAAACTTTATCCATATGGTCTTTAGCCAATTTCCTTAGTTCTTCAATCTTCTCTCTATATTCACTGGCTTTCGGTTCTTCTATATTCTGCATCTGTATGGCCATTTCCTTATAGCAGCACATAATATGGTAATAGAGATAGCTATTGTTTGGAGTGGATTCCAACGCCCTTAGAAACAGTTCAATAGCTTTGTCTAGGTTACCATTTTTCTCGTAATAATAGGCTGCCTTTTGCAGGACATCTGTTTGGTAAGGGGCCTTCTCCAAAGCTTCCTCAACCAATTTATCCGCTTCGTCTTTTTCATTCATCTTCTGCAGGCTCAGGGCTAACAGAACTTTGAGATACTGGTTGTTGGTATTCAGGTCAATGGCCTGCTTCAGAGCATTGACAGAGAAGTTCTTCTTTGGTTTCTTATCCAGATGGTACATTGCAATTGCCAGTCCAGTGGAGGATTCGGGKTTGTTGGGTTTCTCTTCCAGAGCCTTCTGAAAACACATCTTCGCTCTTTCGTTTCTTCCACACTGTAGTCGCGTCCATCCTTCCTCACAGTCAAGCTCAGGACACTCRATGCTGTAAGGATTTGAAAACTTTGCGCAGATGTCTTTCACCTTGTTCACATAGGTCCAAGCGTCTTCGGGTTGGTCCATGTGATAGTAGACCCAGGCGTAGTTTCCCCAGGTGACCAGACTTCTGATCTCTGTTTGCTCATCGTGCTTTTCCTGGATCGACTCTTCAGCTTTCTGCAGGTATTCCAGAGCTGCCTTGTTCTGACCATCCAGGTGTTTAATGTAGGCCAACAAATTGTACATTGTAGCTTTGGACTCAGCATTGAGAAATTCGATCTGATTGCACACCCTGTCTTGTAGATAACATGAGGCACTTTCTTCCTTGAATAAGTTCCAGGTGAAATGGCATTTCAGCTGTGGAAGAATTTTCTCCAAGGAATTCTTGGGAATCTCACTGTGAAGAAAATGTACATGATCACTATGATGTGTACCTGCCAAACATTACGATAGTTAATTTTATATGTAAACCTCACTGGGCCACAAGATGCTTAGATATCTGGTTGAAAATTTACAACCTTCCTGGGGATGGTAGTTTGGACCACACTGTGAGCTACAAAGCTCTAGRAAGACTTCACTCTGAGGCTGTCATTTCCAACTGCCTGTTTCCCATCCTTGAAATGCCCTTTAAAGAAGCAAGCTTTGCCTTAAGTCAACATCCTTCCCATCCTCCTACCTCCCATCCATTTKGGGATTTCTCTGCTCACATTTGCATACATACAATGCAGGAAGCATCATAGGCATTTAAGGAAGAGGAAACCTGGAGGTGCCCGCAGTTGTCCAATGGGTAACTAAAAGCAGAGGAAAAACTTGGCATYTCTGCTTTAATTTTGCTACTTTAAACTTTGGATCCAATTCCTTCTTAACTCTAGACACATTAATCATTTAAGGAGTGTCTGCCACTGGGCACGGTGAGGCACGCCTGTAATCCAGCAGCTTCGGAGGCTGAGGCAGGAAGATCATGAGTTCAAAGCCAGCCTCACCAACTTRGTGAGACCCTGTCTCTAAATAAAATATTAAAAAAGGCTGAGGATGTGGCTCAGTGGTTAAGTACCTCTGGGTTCAATTCCCAGCGTGCTCGCGTGCGCACACACACACACACACACAATATCTGTCAAAAAACTGGCAGTAGAAGGTTGACTAGTCATAAATTTGCCTCATCTCTCTTGTCCCCCTTCAAGATTGAAGACACCAAGGTATGAGTAACTAAAATATTTTCAAGAGTCCAGGAGCAACATGTATTGCAGGCAAAACATCTCATGATAGGACTTCTCCCCTAAATGGGAGCCATTACAAACCAAGAGTGTCMCCTTAAGCAGGAATCATCATCTCTTGTCAGGGAACAAATACCCCCTCAAGCAATGACAACTTTCCCTGCAGAACCAGACCCAAAATAATGATCATGCAGACCCCAGTTTAACCAAGACTGCTTGACGGTGCATACTTTAAGATCCACTTTTGTTCCTTCCCCTATACAAACCTGAAACTCTTGTCAATATCCCCAAAGATYCRCCTTGGGATACTAGTCTCCCCAGCTTCACTAAGTAGTCACACTGAATAAATAAATTCCTTTCTTACTTCATCAACACTCATGTCTCTGGAAGTAGCTGGTGGTAGAACCTGGTCTACTGGGATGGCCCCAGAGTCRAGTCTCTGGCCTAGGTGGTGGGAACATAAGTTGTCTGTAATAATAAGGGTTCCTCCCTCTGGAGGATACTCATAGCTGGCAGGTGCCAGGCATTTTCCCAACTGATTTTCCCTTTTGGAAATTCTTTTTTAAAATTTATTGATACTACTTGATCTTGAACCCAGGGAGTACTCCACTTGTAAACTACCCCAAGCCCTTTCTATTTTCTTTTTTTTTTTTTTAATTTTATGTCTTAAAATTTTGAGACAGGGTATTACTGAATGGATGAGGCCTTGAACTTGCAATACTTCTGCCTCAGSCTCCTGAGTACCTGGGATATAGGCATGCACCCTCTTTGGCAATTTTTAGCACTGCTACAGAGAGGCAGCCCAACCTACTTCTGTCCCTACAGAGGACCTTGATGTGGACTTCAGGTCAACATAGTCCAGAGCATTACCTTCAGACCTCATGTCAATGGCTCTAGACACGACAAAGCACAGTACCTTGCAAAGTCTCTTGTGTAGGCTGGTTATCAAGATGTTGAGCAGGCCCTGGCCTTCTGGTTGACCCTACTCATGCAGACATAACTAACATCACTCTTGACCARGAGCACAAAATATAGAAAGGGGTAACTTGAGCTAATTGGCACACACTCCATGCCCAGATATGACCATGAAGASCATTCTTCTTTCCTTCCTCCTTGTCTGGTTCCTCCAGTAATCAATAGGACCTAAATAATCAATAGGATCCTCCCTCCCCAAGCAATCAACCCTCAATCGTATCAACATAGCTGATAGGTAGGAAAAGTGGTTTTCTTTCCCTCTTAGTTCTCCCTGAACCTCTACCAATGACACAACTCTAGCAGGTCTACATGCATTTTAAAAAATCAGGTTTACTGAGATTGCACTTATATTCCATAAAATGTACCTATTTTAAAGGTATGATTTGATGGGCTTTGACAAAATGTTTATACCTTTGTAAACCATGTAGACTCCCTATAGACTATTTCTATCATTCCCCAGAGATCCTTTGTGTGCCTTCCTACTCCGTCACCAGGCAGCCATTAGTCTGCTTTCCATCCCTGGAGATTAGACCAGCATGAAACGAGAGATTAAGTCATTATTGGTTTTGAGGTGAAATTACTTTCTGCTACTCACCAGCATTTACCACAGCAATCAAAACCTCTAAGCTACGGGCTTTGTTTTCACATAAGAAAWGAAAAAACAAAAAACAATTCCCCATCTGTAAGAACTGTTTCTTCCATGTCCCACCTTGAACTGATCAATTTCAGGTTTACAGGAGTGGGGTTTGCAATACTGATTCCATCTTTCACAATACCTGTTGAAAATAAATGCTTCCTTTGAAAATCACAAGAAAAAAGGCTCTGCCTTAGTCATTTCAAACAACACAATGACAGGAAAGCCCATAAAGAGTAATACCCTTCGGTCTAGCAAAGTTTCTGTCTCACTCGAGCTACCAGCTCCACCTAGTGAGCAGGTCTAGAAACCTTCGCATTTACACCAGAAAAAAAAAAAAAATCACAGAAAACAAACAAAAAACTGATAAAGGTCCAAACTGGTGAATGCATGTCGAACCTATGAACAACAAGTTCCCTGCACAGTGAGAAGCTCAGCTTACAATTTGCATTCAAGAGGAAGAGTGGTTCTTTATTTCACTGACCTCATGACTGCAATCCGTTTCTCCACAGTTCTGACAAACTGGAACCTGCTTGATTTGCTCTTCTGAAATCTTCCTGGTCTGCCTTGGAGCTTTAAAACCGGGAGGTGAGGCTTGGGGAGTGATCCAGCTGAGGCATCTCCCTGTTGCAGAGTAAATAGCTGTTATGAAAAAGGAAGAGAAAACTGGAAAGTGAAACTGACCTAAAACAGTCAAGAGAAAGAAAAAAGAAACTTAACACTAAGCACGGCTTTAACTCAGCTGGARCACACTGTTCAAAGCCTTGAAACTGAAACTGCAGTGTGCGAGAACAGGAAAGCAGTTTCAGGAGTCTGACCATCAATCTGGGAACAGCCCAGGAAAGTGCATGTTTAATAAAGTTTCTGAGGGATTCTGCTGTAGGGGTTTCTGGGACCGTATAATATGAAAGAAAATTCCAAACTATATTTTTTAAAAAATAAGTATTAGTTTCATCCAGGAAATTTTCTCAAGGGAAGTAATTTGCTTGCAGAGATCTGGGTTTAATTCTCTGGGTTCATGTTGTTAGTTCTGGAATTTTCCAGGAGTCAAATCACTGAGCCTGACTGTCCATTTTACCCCTTACAAGTATAGGAAGCCGAGCACTAGAGGGATCTCTGAGTAGTTTAGCTTACCCAGTTCTAAAATGTGTTACTGTTTAATCAATAGATTAATGATACATTTATATATTTATGCTTAGAGCTCTGAAGAAGTGATATTGCCCTAAGAGATTCTTTCTAAAATTTTAAGGACATTTCCCAGGCATGATGTAAATATCCACCAAAAAACCCAGGAAGTAGATTTTTTACAGGTTTGAAGGAATTGTGGGTTAGGGAGAAGTAAGGCTTCTTCTGTCCTGAAGCTACACAAACATAGGCGCTTGGTTAGCAAAAGTGGCCTGATAATGGGGTGGAGTAGGGCAAAAGGACAGTCAATGTAGGTAATGAACAATTGGGTCAGAAAGATGGGGGCTGATTCAGGAAGAAATAAAAAGCTAATACCTCCAGCCTCCAAAGCATTTCCCCTCCTCCAGCCCTTCAATCTGTTGCCAAGGCTACCTGCCTACAGGGAATTTTTTTCCTCCCAGCCTGTAATTCTAAGGGTTGTTAATGAATGTATCCTGGCCACTCTCTTCCTGCCTGTACCCCTGGGCTGCAGTTCCTGTCCTTGGATCACTCCACCTTTTGGCACCCCTTTTGGTCACTAGTCACTACTCAGGATCCAGGAAGGGAAGGAGGAGGCATGAGAACAAAGGAAATCTGAAATAAAAGGGGCAGGGTACCCCCCACCCCGTCCCTTCCTCAGACAACTATAGGGCCACTTGTCTGCGGAGAAGTCTATTTCTGTTCTGTCTTTTAAATAAAATTTGTTTTCTGTGTTTGCCGTGGTGTTTCTTAGGTGTCCAATCTTCAACATCAGGGAAACAGGACTCAGACTGATTCTCATCACCAGTATCAATAACAGTCTCACATTTCAAAGTTAGAGATTGTTGTTGCGTCTCATGAAAGTAACCTGAACTTGGACTGGTCTGTGATACCCCGCTGGTGATGGGTGACGAGTCCTGTTTCCCCACATGCTGAAGTTKGAACCTTAGAGAAGCAAGCCCAGGCAAGCATATAAAGCAAGGTTTATTTAAAAAGGGGTAACATAGACTTCTCCTTTCCTGGGAAGGAGAAGGAGGCCATAGCTGGTATCCTGGTATCCCAAGAAGTGAGGTGTTTTGCCCTTTTTATAGGTCTTAGGCTTCCTTTGTTCTCCTGCCTTTTCCCTCTGATCTTTCTTCTTCCTGCATACGTGACTAGGCCCAGGAATGCTTGGTGAGATGGCCCAAAGGTGGGAAACAGGTGGGCTGAAGGTGGAAGGGCAGGATGGGGTAGCCAAGGACACATTAACAACCTTCTACCTCACTGCAGGGAGGGACAATCCCTGGGACAGGTTACCTTGGCAACAGGTTGGAGCAGGGGCAAGTTATCTTGATAAGGGTGGAGGAAGGGCTCTGAAGGAATGAACATTTCAATCCCTCAGAGCACAGTCTCCAACTTGTTGGACTCACTCAAAATTGGCCTCCTTGATCCGACCTAACTCAATTTACCTATCCACACTGACTGCCTGTCTAATTCTGGTTTCATAATCCTGAGTGGTTGCTTTACCTAACAAATTATTTTCCTGTTAATACTAAAATGATACATCTTTATAAAAGGTTTGAATACTATCTTTTGACCCAGGTAAGATGAGCCTTTGCTTTTGGCCTGTGTTTTAGAAGGCTTCATTTATCATATACACAATAAATATATGTCTTTAAAAGGACTTGGATCTATGATACTCCAAACTCAGTGCTTAATCCTGCAACAGTGGGACTGGCAACCCTAAACATCCAGTCCAAGAGGAACTTGTCTCTCTTTTGACTTCTCCCCTCAAATCAAAAGGAAATTGTACTTTGAACCCTTGTGCATTGTGAGAGTGCTGGTTTTAGAGACAGATTCTACTTTGTTGTTCAAAAAGGATCTAAGCTTCAGAAGTGATTAGATCAGAGGAAAAAAAAAGCAAATTAACTAACCTTATCAAAGTCTTCCTTTTACCAGAGTACAGTAGATTTTTAACATAATGAAAAGTTACCACCTGGTACAGTAACACCAACCGTTCATTTTCTCACTTCTCTTTTTGTTACTGAAAACTTGGTCTTTGTCCCTGATGCCAATCCAATAATGAGGAGGCAGTTCTGATTAAAAGAAAAAAGAAGTTTTATTACTTTGCTAGCAAAAGAGAAACACAGGGAACTCCTGTTCTAGAGGCTGTGTGTCTCATTGTCAGGGGAAATAGAGGGCTTTTGAAAAGGTGATTCCAAAGCTACATTCCATCTGTGCCCTGACATGGATCATAATTCACTTGTAGCCTTGAGAGACAGCCATTTCTTAGAACTTCTGGGGTCAGTCCTGAAGCCTGGATTCCTTCACTCCTTGTAGTGTGTGACCTCATGTACAGGTACAGTGGCCTAGGATGGGAAGGTTAATCCTGTTTCCCAACCATAGTTGGCTAGGGGGAGAGGGAGAAGAGAAAGGAAATCACAAAATGAAACAAACCAACAAATAAACATGTCAATTTTAAAATAAGCCACAGAGCAGTAAGGGTTATGCTCAAAGCATGAAGTGAGCCCTTCTTACACATTTACTCTATTATCCTGGAATAATATCCAGGAATTATCCTGGCTGAAGAAATGTTCATGAATTAACACTGTATTTATGACAGTGCATATGACTAAATAATATTCTTTGGAGTTAAGAAATTCCATATTATTTTTTTTCTCTATTAGTAGAAAACAAAGACTGTAATAAAATTTATTCTGACATAGTAAGAAAATCTCTTCTCAAAAGAAGCCATAAAAAGGGAAGTGCACCCTTCATTCAAATTGCAACAAAAATATTCAAAATCACATGCATCAGTAAGAACTCTGCCTTCTTCACAGCACTGACACAGTTTAGGCATTTTCTCAGTCCTTAGGCAGCTCAACCTACTGTTAAAGCACAACACAAAGAAAAGACCACTGACTCCAATTTTAAATCAAATTAAAGCAAGGTGTAATTCCAACTGGCTGGGACTGTCTCTCCCAAAATCCTTGGGTTAGAGGACAGTATTCCAGCTCTCTAGGAGGGCAGTTTTGTAGCACAAAAAGTTGCAAAAGGGGAGTGTCTTGAGAACTTACAGATAACAGAATTTTGACAAGCATAATACCAAGGCAGGTCAATGGTCTAAATGGGTAAACACTTAGGGAGTAAATTTAGATCCCAACATCAGAATTTATGAGGCGCCATTAGGGTTTCAGAGAGGGTTGTTATCTGGTCAGGGAAAGCCAGGGATGGGTGAGTTCAAGGCATGGGTGAATTCAAGGCATGAGCAGGCATTTCAAGCAAGTTTAAAACATCAAAATACGTCCAGGCCAAGTAGAAATCCTAATATTTTACAGAAAACAGAAATGAATCCTTTACAACTTTTGACAAGATGGCTCCTGATCTTAAGAGAGAATTAGGCTGGGTTTATCACCTACTTCTATCCACATTGAAGAGGTTACGAAGCATAGGATATAAAATGATCTAGTGTTAGGCACTTCCTGACTCCACCAATATTGATGTATAGAAAAGAAAGTGAACATTGGGGTATAAGTACAATTCCAAACACTTGAAATTGCTCAGGAAAAAGTCTTGGTAAGTTGGAGAAGCCAACAAATTGCCTGTCTAGGAAGGCAAAATGAAGTTTCAAAACCAAGGATGGTTTTGCTCAACAAGTCACCAGATAGGCATGAATCTTCCTCACCTTGGTAATGTTTTTTTAAAAAAATGCTAGTGAAGTTTGAAAAATAACCTTTCTTTTAAGTCTGTTTGGTGCTCCATACCCAAACCAAGTTATAGCAGAAAGGAGACAAAGCTAACTTCAAAAGAGCCTCATGATGCCAGATACAAAGCAATGACTTCTCAGCAATGAAACCAGTATGTTGCAGAGATACCTGCACTCCTGTGGTCATTGTACTATTATTCACAATTGCCAAGTGATGGAATCAATGTAAGGGTCCATCAATGGATGCATGGATTAGGAAAATGTCACACACACACACACACACACACACACACACACACACAATGGAATACTATTCAGCCCTTTTATCTTTTCCTTTTTCTTTCAGGTGTATATTTGTGTGTTCCTAATTATATCATGATCACCAACTCTGAGCATCTTTTTTACACTGGTAACAAAGCCAAAAGTGGATAAATTTAAACCCAGTGTTAGGTTGATGGAGGTGGCTGAGGAACAAAGCACCAAGCAACCCAAGAGCCAAAGAAACATCAATCAGACACTGAAGGAACCRCCTGTCAATCAGTGGGGTCTCCTGGCCAATCCTGGATCTTAGCCAGCTTGCCTGACAAACTCCAGTAGGATAAGGGACTCTATAAACCCCTTTTCCTGTCCCAAGCCCTCCCTTCCTGCCCTAAGTCCAATAAAAATTCCAGTCCCATAGGGCCCCTGCATTTCTTATCAGACCCACCCTGCTGGTTTGAGGGCTCCGACTGAGAGGCACAGAAACAAACAAAAAGCCTCATTCAGCAGCATTTTAAAATCTGCCTCTTTATGGTTGCCGCTGCCTGACCTTACACCCAGATTAAGCAATGACTATTTTAATGTTTTGTCTTATTAGGAAGTGACCTAGGTAGTCACTGAATAGACATTGTTTCATTTAGTTGACTCAGACTAAGGGTATAGCTCTTCA